TCATTTTGTAAGAGCCTTCAATTACAGTGTTAGTGTAACTAACAAGACATGGGAAATTCTTAGGTAAAACTAATGTAGTTCATAGAACAGTGCTCCAACTAGATAATATTGGTTTGCCTTCCTCATATTGTGGAATTTAAAATTTCACTCATTTAAGGAAATCTTTTTTAAACTTGAGATTGGGCTTTGAGAGGACTTCTTGTTAAAGTAAACAGCGTGATCTGCAGAGAGCTTTCACAGAACTACTTTTAAACAGTTGCCATTATTTCTGCAGTGTCTTTAGAAATGTAATCGGACAGATGGATGTGCTGGATTGGCACTGTAAGTGTCTTTGCGCTGAGAATAGTATCAATAGCTATTAATAACTTCAAAAGTCCCTCCAGATAAATTAGTGAGTAGCAACCTTATAGCTAAGGAATACATAGTAAAAGTAAAAATAAAGACTATCTAAGTTTTGATTTTTGAATCTAACATGAATGCAGGGAATCTCAAAAATCCTGTATTTTAGTAATGTAATATTTTCCCCTAAAACTAGTATTAAAAGCAGAGATAGTCACCATTGTACTGTCTCAGGATTTCTCTTGATGAATGTCAGAATGACTGTGCTATTCGTTTGTTTGCTTATTTTTAAAGTTTGAACTTCTAGAGAAAAGGAAAAAAAAATGATTATGGGCTGAGTAGTATGCAGGAAATTGAACCATCTAAAATCCTTTCTATTGAAAAGGAAATTCTAAACCACATTTAACAGCAATGTTTGTGTATTGAAACAATTACATCATGTTTCACAGAAGTTCCTTGTGATTTTAATACCAACCATCACTGCAACCTTATATATTGAAATACATCTTCATTTGACATCTATATTTCAGTATAGGTTAATTATGTTCTCTTTGGACATTATCAGGCAGGATATTCAGTGCTTTTCACTGGTCCTGCTCTTGTTCTTCCTTTGAAAAAAAGAATCAGAGGATTTGTGTGTGTATTTCTTGTTAATTTCCCCATGTAAATATTTCCATCCTGCAAAGGTAGGTACCCAAAGGTAGGGCAATTTTAATCATTTTTACATATATATATATATACATATACATACATGCATACATAATAAGTTATTATGTTTCTTGTCCTTGCAAGGTGAAACTTTAAAATATATTTACACTAAATGACAGAAAACCTTGTGTATATAGACATTTCATATTATTTCCTTACGTGATGGTAATTTTCTATCAGGAACAAGTTAGCAGATGCCCTATTCTACATTGGATTCGTCTTTGCTATAAAGTGCAACTCTAAGTATTTGTTTTAAAACTTTTCCCACCTTACCAAAACAGCACTGTACTACAGGCTGTGCCATTGCAGCAGACATTTTATTTGTGATCGAATTAGAATCTGGGTCTTGGGATTTGAAAGACAAACGCATTAATCCCCTGAAAGATTCAGTCAATCTCTGTCAATTCTAATCAGGTAAAGGCATTGGTCATTTTGCTTCAAAGCAGCTGGAGGGATTTTTTTAAATCAGGGAGCTGGCCTTTTTATTTCAAGCTTATTTCATCTTGCAGGTAAAAATGTCCCTATTGCATGTGAAATAGTGAAGGATTTAATACACTCATATGTCCCCTGAAGCTATCACAGTGCTTTCTAATGTGCAGAATCTTTTGTGGTCATCAGCACCAGCTACTAAGTAGGACACAAAATTCTGCTGGTTTTGCTAGAACAAGGTGGGGGGGTGGAAGGGAGGAAGGTGTTGGAGTAGCTTGTGATGTTTATCACTAAGCAGATGACTTAAGAGAATGAATTTATCTTGGTTTGAAAGAGAGTATATGAAAAGAAGTTTGAAGCAAGGGTCTACATGTTACTGTGGTTTTTGTGTAGAACATGGACAAGGAGGCTTGCTGGGTAAACTGAAATGAGATTGGTTTTGGAATACCTTCTGTGCAATAAGAATGATTCGTGGAGCTGATTTTAAATGCAACAAGTTACTTTGCATTATTCAGGAGACATCTTGTGATAAAAAAGTTCTGGAATGAATAGTAGCATGTTTTCTGATGCGAAAGTACTAGTAAAAAATACTCATATGCAGAGTCTCCTAGATGCCTTTAAAATAAATGTAAGGTCATGTTCTTAGTTAGCACAGTAGGAATTAGAATAAAGTTTTTCCTGTAGATACATTTCTGTTTTGGCCAGGATGTACTCTAGAACTGAATTGCTTACCTTCTCATACAGGCATTTTGTGTTTGAAGTGTAATTAATTGTCCTAGGAGAAGTCAGGCCCCCAAAATGGCAGTCAGATTCCCTGGGCAGTGTGTTATGAGATCTCTATCAGTAATCTATGTTTTTCTTGCAAATACTTAAGACTTGTCTCTGAGATGTGGCTCTAAAAACCCTTTGCAGAGGGAAAGTACCAGGCTGAAACCATGGTATGGAGGAGTAATGGCAGCTTCTCGGGTGCTCTTATGTTGTTGTCAGAATTAGTGAAATATATCTCTGGGTTTTTTCCAGTGAAGTTCTTCAATTTGTAGTACTTGTGGAAAGGAGATGAAAGAATTGTTTACAGTGCTGATGAGGTATGAGGCAAAGGCTAGTTACAGCTGGCCTCTAATATAAGTTGTCCCTTTGTTTTTCCTTTCACCCTCTAGTGAATCCTCATTCTTCCATCTTTGTCTTCTGCCATAAAAAGAAATCTGGAATAGGTCATGGTTTCCTATTTCAGCAGTGGGTGGTAACATTCAGCTCCTGGGAAAAATTACAATCTATCTTTTTCCTTTTTTACATCTCTTTTTATTACCACTTCAGCATTTAAGATACCATGAAACACTGTGTTATAAAATAGAAGACAGATTCTCTAATGTGTCTTTGCCTCTTTATTCTCTTTATATTGCTTACTGCAAGAAAGCTGGGAAAGCAACTGTCTCTTCCTCACCTGCTATTAGCTCTGTGCACACTACAATGAAGTGAGATGTGGATTTGATTAAGACATGACACACTGACTATTCCCAGAGCTGCCTCTTAACTGACACCTTTCTTCTTGCTTCATGATGAGTCTTTGTCTATTAATTTGTATCAGATAGATTATGAGGTTCTCCATTTCTTTTTTTAATAGTGTTATCTTTTATTTTTAAATTCAGATTGGTAGAACAATTGCTAAAATCAAGCAGGAACTAAAGTGCAAGGGATATAACTGTGTAATAATTGGAATGCATCAGTGATTTCGGCTTCGGTAGGTGGTAGTCTGTCTGGTTCCAGGAACTTGCTGAAAAGTTAAGAGGTAACTGTCTTCTCTCACTTTGTTGGGTTCTGTTTCCACTGCCAGTCTTCTCTTTTTTTGCACTCCTCCCTGTACTCTTTGCTCTGTCTTGCCCTTGGCTTCTGTTGGTGGCTGTGGCTGTAACACTGAATCCCATCATTCTGGCAATGTCAGTCTTGCTGGAGGTTTCCATGCAATTAGGATGAATTCTTTCTTCTGGTATTAACAGCCGTAATGGAAGCAGCTAGGCTGGTTTCTCTTTCTTCTTTTCCACTTCTTTTTAGACCTCCTGGTATCTTACTTTGAATGTGCAGCTCAGTTATTGTTAAATCATCTGGATATAAGAAGAATTAGTGTTCCGTGTGCTCTCTTTCTGTAATTCATAATACTTGTTGTTTACTAGAAATAGAGGGTCTCATGAAATCTGCTCCTAAATGAGGTTCTAATTTATGATCTTAAGGACAACAAAGGAAATGAGAAAGAAGTGTAGGAGAAGTAATGGCAGTGCTGTTCTGTACTTTCCTCATTGCATTAGAGTTCCTCGTTTTCAAGATAAGTAGGGTTTTCTAACTTACTGGTTAGTATGCCTAGGATTGGGAATTAATTTTTGGTATAGAGATTTTTCTCTGTCTTTGAGTTCTCTAAAAGAAACTTGTCCTCTAGGTAAGTCCGTGGGCGGCTGCATTTGTGAGTTTGCCCACAAATGACTGAGGGCAGGTATTTTGGATGTCTGAGCTTCCCACGGAGCCCTGTGATGTGATTTCCATATGAACTATGACTGGCCTAAGCAACTGGAAGATATTCCAGTTAGTATCAGAGCTGTGCAGTATCTGAAGTTCTGATAGTTATGGAGTATTTACCTTTTATGTCTTGCTACAACTTGAGATTAGCCTGCAGGGCACAGAGGACACACACGACACATGGGACGACACAGGCACTAAGTAAGGAGGTGTCATTGTTGTCTTGCTTCCTTTCTCTAGCAGAACCATCTTCTAATCCTACATGTCACTGGTTCATCAGGCTAAGAGCATTTTTTTTATACTAATCCAGAACTTAATACAGCATATTCTGGGCTCTGAAATATGTGTAATGTAACTCTGAATCCCGTGAGTGGCTGAAGCTAACTATAAATAAAACCTTTGTTTTCCATATGGCAGCACAGATTAACTAGAACCATCCCTTTAAACTCTTTTATTTAGTTGTTTTCCAGTACCGTTGATAGTATTCTGTTTGAAACATGAGACTGACCTACATCAAATAGCCAAAGTTCTTGGTTATCATCATAACACCTGTATAAAATTAATAGGAGGCTTTTTAGTGCCTAATTTTAAACTAATAAAAACTACTGGGTTTATCATTATTTTCCAAAATTTGCATATCTTTCATTTGCAGTAGTGTTGAATATTTGATTATGTTGCCACTGCAGTCACTGTTCATCATAAGCAAACTGGGTTTGGGGGATTAGTGGGTTGAGTCGTGTTTGTGCTCATGTGATACTGTTTGCTTTACTGTTTTGGATTGTAGAACTGGACAACAGAGCTTAAATAACATAATGAATCTCTGTGTGAGGTAATGTGATATAGTGTGTTTTTTAAAAAAACTATTTTCTTTAACCTTCCTAGAAAGAATGAGTGCATTGTGTTTCTACCAGCTGATGCAGCTATTCCAGGAGAGAATAATATTTAATGAATTTAAAATGATGATGAAATATATTTTATTCAGACCTTGTTGACTCCTTCTGTTTGCTTCACCCCCTCAGACAAACGTGTTGATGATTGGCCCTTGATGCAGTCTCCATTTCCAACACTGACTATAAGCACTATTTATCTCCTCACTGTCTGGCTGGGCCCCAAATGGATGAAGACGAGAGAGCCCTTCCAGTTACGCTTCCTGTTGGTTGTTTACAACTTTGGAATGGTTCTGCTCAACTTCTTCATTTTCAAAGAGGTGTGTATGCCCTCTTGCAAGAGGGAATTCTTATTGAGGTTTGAGGATGTCTGCAGGTTGCAAAATGAAAATAATTATCTTGCATATTTATGATATCTATTGCAAGTGAATGTTTTGCACAGACTTTTAAAGATGGATTTGCCTTTGTGAGTATTTCTATAGCTAGGTACTGTCTGTTTGAGAATAAATGCAGTAAATGAGTCTATAGAGAGAATTTTTGTATTAGCTATTCCAAGTTCTTCTTAGACTTATGTTAGTCTAGATACTGGACAGAATAAGTAAAATCTATAGAGATTTAACACTTGTAACTGATTTTTTTTTTCTTTTTAATAATCCTAAAGGGTGTCAGAATGCATCTTGTTAGAAATTGAGCTGTTTGTTCTTGCCTTCAACGTGTTAATCATTTTTAGAAATTCAACTGTCCATTACCTGTAGTGAAGAAAACTGTCTTGTCTGTACATTATATTTTAGAATAAGGATAAAAATGAAGTGAACTATATCTCTAAATAAAAATAAAAGGATAGAGTCTTCTACTACTTGGTTTGAAATGTTCAGAATGTGTTCATTTTAATAAATTTCTGCATTGCTGCATTTTTCCTTTGGATTTCTGTACAGAGGAAATGAGGAGTAACAATGCAATGGACCAACTCTGTAGTAGTAGCTAACTGGGATTACTTAACAGTTTGGTAATTGTTATTCAAGGATAGCTGTACAGAATATGGCTGATGCTAAGTTAATTCTGCTATGACTGCTCATGTGGATCAAGAGGCATCTTCCTGGAAGACCTTGGATCATAACTTTGCAAAATCTGTTTCCAGAAGTAAGCAAATGAACAGAGTAGTTAAAATTACAGAATTCAAGAACTCTCTGGCTGGTCTGTTCTGTACTTTTGCCAGAAAGCATGGTATAGCTGATGATGATATGCATATTGACCCTTTCCCAAAGCTTCTATAATAAAAGCATTTAACTGATTTCAGCTTCTTTTTAAGACATGGTTCAGTAAAATTTTAGCCATCACACCTCAGTCATCATTTTGTCTAAATTGTTTCCTTGGACTATTCAACTAAGTAATTAAGTACTACAGGTACAACAGAATTTAATGCTGACACCCAAGGATAGTTGTGGGAAGAGATTAAATCCAATCATCTTGGCAGGTTAAAAGTGAAACTCCTCTGAAATGAATTTTGCAGTGTAACTACCATGCCTGACTTTTAAATTGATTTGTTTTATCCATAGGCTGAATTATACCAAACTTATGGTCAAATAGTTTTCAAACCTATGTTGCTTATAGGGTAACGTGTTTGTGGCATTTCCAAGTCACTGAATTAACACAAAAATGAATGGGACTGCAAATACATATTTGCTGCTGCTATGCTGAAAGCTCATAGTTTTGGACACAGAGGTTCTAGTTTCCTGCTCTCTCAAGTGGTAGGTTGTTATTCAATGAATGTTAAGGCTACGGATACAGCATATACAGGAAGTGTCTTTTCTTGATCTTAAGAGACTGATAGGAGGAAGCTGTTCAAGTTTCAGTTGATCCCTTTACGAGGCAACTTCTCCTTCCATCTACATGAGGTTTACAATACCACTGTGCCACTGTTGTAATTCACATGAGTTTTAATTGTTATGAGTAAAATGATAACACTTTGTACTTTGTGAATGACTGTAAAATTTCCAGACAAGACTAAGAACAGAAATTGAATGTGAAATGCCTTTAAATGTTATTTAAATAACCATACTGTTGGCAAGCTGTTTTGTTCATCTGTGATAACTTGCATTAAATAGTAAGTCCATAAAACACTTCCATATGTTGGATTCAAATGCAGGTTCTTATTTGGAGACAGTTTTGCTCAGGACATGCAGAAGTCCCTGTATCTGGGGATGTATAGACCCTATGTTGCCACAAACTCAGGACTTTCTTGTTCTACTTTGAGGCAGTCTCGTGAAGTCAATTTACTGCCTTTTGCTAAGGTAATCTTGGCCAAGTTACCCAGTAGATTGCAGTAGAGATTGGTTGATTTCTGTAACAGTGTGGACTAAACTTTCCTTGTTCTTCCTTAATAGTATCAAATGTGCTCATGCCTGTGTGGGACCACACTGGAGAGTAATGGTGTTACAGCAGTTTGTAAATGGACTTGGAGGATGCAGAAGTATGTTTTCTAGGATAATTTCTGTGGACAGTTCTTTCATTTACTTACGTTAAAAAACATGTGCAGCAAACATGTCCAGAGCTTCACAAGGTTTTGTATGCTGGGGTTTTTTTCTGGATAACACTTGTCTCTGTATCTGACAGCCCTCCTAGTGCTGTGTGCAAGATGAGACACCGAAGTAAACTCAAGTTCAGTTCAAATAAGATGGAAGTCAGGTTAGTGGTAAGAGTAGTCAGCGCCTACCCATCCTTTTTTTTTTGCCATCTTTTTCTCTCACCCTTCTCTACTTTTACAGCTTCCAATTTACAGGTTATGTCTGCTCCACTGCTGTCTCTCTTTCGTCCATAACAGGGTGGGATTACCTGGCTTTAAACAGTCTTGGATCATGACATTTATGAATGTCAAGATTAGAAATATTATTTGAATTTTGTACAGCTCTAGACAAGAGTACTTCTTTCCAATGGGAACTTGCTCAAGTGTCAAGTTTGTCTTCTCCTGTCCAGGTTTTTGCAATGTTCTTGGTTTGGAGTAGCCCTACTGGAGCACTTAATGTGTTTTAGGCCATTTCTGTTGGCACAAAATGGGAAATTTTTCTCCATCCATTATCTCTCAATGTGTTTTGTGGGTGCTCAGCTTTGGCTGTTCAACCTGGGTTTTTTTCTGGATTGTAATTGGTATACTGTGTTAAGAATTGTAGATCCAAATTATCTAATCCCTGTCACATAAATAGAGTTCTCTTGAATCCATCCTGAGAATAGTGTTTCTGTCAATTGTAGTGAAAGCAGATAGGTATTTTCTGTCTCTGAAGCTAGAGCCTTCAGAAAGAATACTCATGTTTGAATAGCTCAAGGTCATACTGGAATTCATAGTAATTTGCATGAGGCTGTAATTATCTGGGCAGATACATACAGGGAGAAATGAGTACTGTCTTTATAAGAAAAAAGTAAATACTGTGTAACAACTCGTTGTTAGTACTAAATATTGGCTTTCTCCAATAGTATTCTAAGGATTAATAAGGATACTTTAAATATTTTTGTTCAGGTAAGTTTGATGTAGCAGGAAACTTGCTGATAATTTTTATAAATGTGTTTTATGTAGTATCTTTCCCCTGATGTATGACTTTAATATTTTCAGCTGTTCTTGTCATCAAGAGCTCGAGGGTACAGCTATGTCTGCCAGACTGTGGATTATTCAGATAATGTTTATGAAGTTAGGGTGAGTATTTCTTTTTTTATATTTGTATATGAACATGTGTTATATACAGCACCACATGACAGTTTAAGTCTTGTCTGAAAATAGTGGTTCCACAGTTCTGTTGTCAGCCATGACTGTATCCCGTTATATTTTCACAGACCGCTTCAGGTTTGACTACACTGTGCACAGGTTTAATGAAAGTGCATCAGCATACGCATATTTGCATTAACTTTCATCTGACTGCTACAAGTAAGGGGAATCTTAGATACTATCCTTGGCTTCATCCATAGTTGTACAATCCAGGATAAACTTTTTATACGTACTTTGGTTCCTAGACCTTGCTGAAGTTTATGATACCAGGGTAACCGCACTAATGGTGGTGTTTTCTAACTAGATCAAAGCAGGTAAGATTTGTCAGCATATACTGTGGTTGCACTTCACCCATACTGGTGAGGCAGCTTTTTGTCTCCTTTACCCATCTTTGGCTTCATGAGGTCTTGCTGGCCTCTGGCAAATGTATTATCAGTACATTTCATTGTAGAATCTTAGATTTCAAATACATGAGTTTTGGAAAACATCCAAATTAAAAATGCAGATGCATGTTAATTTTTGTGTAGTGCTGTTGATTAGCTCAGGTACTAACCCTTGTCTTCCAGCAGAGCTGACACTTGAGAATCTCTCAGCTGTCCTTGCAAGTTTCACTTACGGATTAGAACATTGGGAAGTATAATGAAAGTATGGTATAGTCTAAATACATTTAATGTTTATAGCACAGTTGAAAAAATGTTTGTCTACAAGGTAGCTGTTCATGGATAGTACTACTCAAAAGCTTGTGCATGTGGCAGGGCTGGTAGTGAGACAGTAAGGTTTGAGTCTTACATGTTATGTGTAATGGCTGATATTGCAGAACAGCTCTGTGTGTAGACTTTATTTGCCTTATGGTAGTTGCCAATCTTTCACCTTTGCCAATACTGTGCTCTCACTATTTCAGTCACTAGAATACATCTGTTAATAATTTTGTTGAAAAACAAGATCTAGCAAAGTATACCAAGTGCTTGAAAGGTTTGAGTTTTTTTAATAGATAAGCAAAATAGAATGCCCATGTACTCAGCTGAATGACATTGAGGACTGGTATGATGTACATTAAAGGAATTTTTATATTAGCTAAGTACAAGAGGTACAACTTTTAGCATGCAAAAATTCTGTTCTATATCCTCACTTTTAGGTGCACTTGTTTGTGGGAGGCAGTGGAGAGGCCAGACCTGCACAAAAGAATTATCATATGTTTTGTTTGTTATGACAAGCAGAGCGTTATTGTATAATGCAATAAATGCAAAATGACCTGCAGAGTGTATTTACAGCATATAACATGTCCATAAAAGAAGGATTGCTCTAGCAATCTGTGGACTTCCTGACATTTTAATTTTTTTATTATTATTATTTCTTACAAACTTGTGGATTTGCATAAAATTTATTTCTGAAGTTTTAAGGTCCAGCATATTCAGTTTGCAAGTGAGGGAGTTGAGGAAGCAGGGAAAATTGAGTTCTCTCAAGTTGTTGCAGCAACTGTATAGTACACTATCAGTCAAGACTCTTACCTTGATAATCTTCTGGTAGTTCTGTGGAATGTATTCTCAACTTAGGTGAATAAGTTGCAAGCAGAAGATTATGTTTTCCACAAGTGTACTTTGTCTAACTCAGGAGTCTGGGATACATTTCTGTTCTGCTTTACAGCGTATCATGTTCTGCACTTAGAAGATATGTTGTTGGTTTTTGAGTGTTGAACAGAAAAAAAAAACAAACCCTCAAACCTCCTCAAGATTCTTTTTGCCATCATTTTTCATAATATAAGCCTGCAAAAGCAATTTTAAAATGTTTTTGCAGTTTTGTGTTTAGAATAGATGAACATTGTAGCACATGCTTCACATCCTTTTACTAGCTCTAGATACTAATATTGGCATCAGGTTTTCTCTGAAGAGAAATGATGCATTGAAGCAGTAGAATTCATTACAAATGCAACTACTTTATTTGTAAGAGAATGAGTAAATAAGTCCTGTATTGCTCAGATAAAGGAGACGGGGACTAACTCAAATGGAAACAGCACTTAGCCCAGAAAGCATTGTAGAACATGGTCTGGAAAGCAGCAGCTTCATATATGGTTTTATTTTGGGGCTTAGAAATCTGGAACAAATATTGAGAAATGTGAAAGTAATTGCATATGATGGTCTAAATGGCAACATAGAAGCCTTGGTATGACCTCTGTTTCTGTCTTTTTGGGAATGTGTCGCTGTGATGTTGTCATGCAGTGGCCCCTTTTGTTCAAAGCTCTTGATCAAAATGAGGGATCTAGAAAGCATCCTTTGTTCCTCAAGGGAGTGCAGAGAGCTGGTAAACAGTTCCCAGGAAAAAAAGTTTGGCTATCCTGGGTGCCAGGGAATGTCTTTCCTTTCTTCTCTAACCCACCGTGTGTGTCAAGACAGTAAGTCAGTGGTGATTTTAAGGGAACAGTGTAAGGGCATGTGGTGGCACTTCCCTTATATAGTTTAGCAGCACTAGCAATCTGTAGCTCACAGATGTCTTAAGTCAGACATAGCCTCTTTGTTTTGCCAGTTTTTAAGGGGTTGTTTTTCCATTAATTTGCCTGTATGTTTTCTTCAACATTATCAAGCTTCTGGCTTTCACTGATGATGAATTATGTAGGTAGTTTATGCATCATGTGAAGGAGCTGGTCCTCCTATTTACTGTTTTGAACCTACCTACACCTGTTAATCTCATTCAGGCTCTCCTGGCTGTTCTACAAGAGGCAATGGACAACTGGAGCAAGCAGGGATGAAAATTAGATCCCACAGTTGTAGAAATAAACTCCTTTGTGACAGGTTTATCTTCTGGGTATAGTAGCTAGCCACCTTACTAACTGCTAGCAGGAAGTTAAATGCGTTTTGTTATGAAAAAAGTAAAATGTCCATGGTAGACAAGAAAGAAAAGAGGGAACAAATCTCCAAGAAGGGATTTGGAAGGATCTACTGCTGCACCTTGGAAAAAAAGTTTTGGTTATAGCTTAAGAGTCAAAATAATAAATGCAGAGTGGTGAGGTGTTAAATCCATGCTTTGTAGTACTCCCTTGGGAGCTTCAGTATTTGAAGTGAACAATTTCCTAACACTGTCTAACTTAAGGCATGTTAGTGTCTGTGAGTAGTCCTTTTCCCCCTCTGCTTACATTTGTGTGCCCTTGTTTCCCAGGTCAGGGTTCATCTATTTTATTAGCATTTCTGAAGAGCTAAGAAATGGGAATATGGGGTTGTGTGAACTGGGTCTCTAGTTTTAAGTGTGCTGATTGTAAATCCTGAAGCTGAGCAATGGTTGTCTCCTGTATTGTGATTGTAATCTGCATTGTTTGTATTTATGTCTAGAGCTTGAGAGGTTTCCTCTTATGAAAAAAGCCTACTCTTAATTTACATTCTTTTTTCACAGAAGTTAAAAGTGACTTAAGTCAAGTCCCGTAAACAAAATTCTGTAACTGGGAAAAGAGTTCTCTTTAAAAGCTGCTTTAATTTTTCATATTACTGTGACCTTCCAAGAAGTACCTGTCCCTTCATACCCCTTGATGGATAACCGTTTCCAACCCGAAATGAGGAAGGATGGTGCAGAAACAGAGTCCTGTGTTAAAACAGCCCTCCATTCAAAACCCTGCAGCAGGCAGAGGACATGGGATTGAACCTCTTGTTGACCCCCTTAATCCTAGGCTGTAATGTAATCTTTCTGTGCCATCTGGTGTTTTAACTGACTTAGATTGGCACATATGAAAATTACCAGAAAAGATACGGTTTGACTAATATTATTCATTACAGGAATGTGCCTTTTTAATGCATGTTTTCTTTTCAACTAAATCTTTTTTTCATGCTATGTTCAAAGAAAGACCACAGGTTAGGTCATGATTTCTGAAACTTTGCAAAAGAAGTTTAGTAGTAGCCACCTGCTCCTGACATAGCTTACATATTAGTGTATTGTTCTACTTTATTGCTGCCCTCAGTCACTGTTTGCATGCGTGGCCTCAAGCAAATGACATGACTTCTGTTTCATTTTAAAAGCATCTGTATAAGCCATTAGAAGCACTGAAATAGATCATCAGTACACAAAATCTATCAGGTTTCAGAGTAAATGGTAGTAATATTTGATGATAGTGAGAGAGCAAAAAAGCTGACAGGCAAAAAAATCTACAGGAACACAAAATCAGCAGGTGTCGTCCTGCAAAGAAATAGAGTCTGTTCTTTTTTGTTGTTGTTCTTAAGTAGTAGGAAATATTTTGATCAAAAGTTCAAATTATTTTTATTCAGGGGCTGTAATTGCTTTCTGTGCTAGACAGGTGGAATTCAGAAGAAGAGGAACGAGATGTGTTAAGTGACTTGTCCAGGAGCATATACTGATCCTGTGGCATCTTGGGCATAAAACATAAGTATTTTGTTAGGATTTTTCTCCACCTATATTTTGCTCTATATCATACAGTAAATTGGGGTTTTGCTTATTGGCTATTTGATTTATTGTTCCCCCATTTCATTAATAAAAATATACATTTGCTTTTTAAAAGATTCTGTGGCAGTTTGCTTGTAACTGGCATATTGATTCTATAAAAGTTTCTCGGAAGGGAGGACCTCCAAAGAGCTAAAGTATTGCAGTGCTGGATTTGTCATTTTATGGATACAGTCCAAAGTGTTTGTTGTTAACTCATGAGATGAAGAGATGCTTATCTTAATTTATTTAAGAGATGCAGCTTTAGCAAAGATCTGTAAAAGATGCTGGACTGTTATGCTAATCCATGGGTGTGAGACAAACCTTGATGTGGGTGTTATTAAACACCTGACTACCTGTCCCAGAGGCAGTACTGTACTGGATATTGAGATATATATATATATATATATATATATTGGCTCATGTGTCTGGGAACTCTGAGATCTGTGAGAGTCACTTTTCTCTCGCTGAGCCTTTCTCTCCGACTTTGACAGATATTAGTATCTTTTGGTATAAAACTGGTAAAATCTACCTCCTCTTCCTGAGATCTGAAGTAGGCTAAATCAAATCCGGTGAGTGAGAAAGGTTTTCATTAAACAATACATTGAAGTCTGCAGTTTGGCAACAGTAAGATGTGCAGTCCCTTTGGGAAACTGCAGTCGCAATGCAGATCTGCAGCACTCTTCACCTGTGCTGCTTTTTTGCTGCTGCTGTAATTTCTCCTAAACTGGTCACTAGTCCAATTATGGCTGTGAAAAACTTACTCCGAGGAGAGATGTGTTCCTTTCCCACTAGTTTGGAGAGGTGGAGGAAAACATCATGCAGGGCTTGTAGCTTTAGTACAGCTCGTTCTTCTGATCCCCCTTTCTCTAGCTCATTCTTCTGATCCCCCTTTCTCTCGCTCCCCTAACACTATGTGTGTAGTTGGGAAGGAAAGCTAGTCTGTGTTAGCCTTTTTTTCTTCTGTCTCCTCTGGGCACTGAGGAGGTGGTGGGATTATTTCACACCAGGTTAAGGTAAGAAAGTCTGATTTGTCATCAGCTGAGTCCTGAAAGACAAGGTGAACTTCTTACAAATAGGTGTGTTGTGACATTGCCTCTCTCTTCTTGCAGGTGGTACCAATTCCAATTCTTTTTTTTTCCCATTCTCTATGTGAGTCACCATCTGGGATATGTTCTGGTCCCACCCTTGCATAACAAGCTAGATGACTTACAGTGCCAGGAACTAGACTTGTTGCTATGCTTTGGGATTTGGAAGGGAGTCCCTACCACCACCATACTCTCATATCATAGTATGAACAAATTGCTACACAGAGCTTCTGGGCTTCTGGTTTAACAATATCCTGATTTCAGCTGGAAGCCATGTTTATGTTGCATCCTGGGCAAGATTCACTGTGATGGGTGGATTAGAAAAAGAATTTTGGGTGTGTAACACTGCCCTGTTGGGTAAATGGTTATATCTGTGCAGGTTTTATGGCTCCTCTAGTCTCATTTCTTCTATTCCCTGAATGGCACAGAGCCACTGGGGGAATGCTGCTTTACAGAGGGAGTTAGTGAGCAGGCCAGAAAAAGCTGAGGGAATATTGCTCTGAGGGATGTGAAATCTGTAGTACACCTAACTTGTAAGAGGGATTTTGTATCTTTCCACCGATATGCCTGTGGTACTGAAGGTTTCAGTCTTTGCAACTTCATTTTATTGTAATGTTTCTGCCTTATTGTTCTGACCACATCAAAGTGTTGCCTCACTAGTAGGGGAAGCCCTGTGGAAGTCTTCCACAAAGCTTAGGAGAGAGAATGAGGACACAACCTCCCTGTTTAACTGGTAAACTGTTCAGAGATGGCAAAGTTTTTAACTATATTAACTCTTTTTTTACAGTTGTAATTTGTGAGCAATAGATTCAGAATAATCTGCTTCCATGTCCAGAATAGTTGAAAGGAGTATTGTTTTTGTTATTGTTCTCATACCGTCAGATGCTTGATGACTCCACCTCAACATTTACCAGGATACAGGGAAGGAAGAAGTATCCTTCTCTCCATCTATGTGCTGCAAGAGAACTTTATTCTATTCAGCTTGAAATCACTAAACTTTTGTATTATCTGTTTTTCATTGCAGATAGCTGCTGCTTTATGGTGGTATTATGTCTCTAAAGGAATCGAATATTTGGATACAGTATTCTTTATCCTGAGGAAGAAATTTAACCAGATTAGTTTTCTTCATGTCTATCACCATTTCACCATGTTCACCTTGTGGTGGATTGGTATTAAGTGGGTTGCAGGTGGACAAGGTGAGTTCCCTTCCTCCCATACCCTTTTGATGGGGCAGAAGGGAGAATTATTATTGTTTAGGAGCAATGGAAAAAAGTTTTGTAGAACTTGACTTTATAATTTACAAGACTGTTTATTAACACGTAGAGTCTCCCTCTGTGGGAAGCATGGGGGAGGAAAAGATAACAGGGCAATAATCTAATGAATTGCAAAACTTCATTTCCTCATGGGCATCAATTGCAAGCCTGATGTTCTGCCTTAAAAAGTATCCTTATTTTCTATGAATCAGAAAGATGTATTTGTCTTGCCTAACTTTAATTTTTGCAGATACAGAGAACTGCAAAATCTAATTATGGGCTACAATCTGTGTGCAAATTTAATGAAGTTAATGGAGATGTCATTTTGGCATTGTATCTGAGTTTGAGGTTTGCTTTCTTTTTTATAAAGAGGCTTGTATAAAATTCTGAAACCTTCCCTTGGAGGTGAGCCAATAAATCTGTCAATTCACTTTTAAAACCTATTCATAATGGTACAAGTCTGTAATTCATTATCAGCCTTTTTTTCCCATCGTTTCTTTTTTAAAGCCTCCATCAAATAATTTTATTATTATTTATTGTACTTGTCACATTCTCCCTTGCCTATATTTGTACCCTTGTTCCTGGTGTTTTGCCATTGTCCCTCTGAAATTACAACTCTTCGAAGCTGAGGATAAAGGAAAAGTGCCATGTTTTGTTTGTAATGTGCTTTGTAGGCTTATGACACTAAAATTAGCATATAGTAAATACAAAATGCCATATTATAAACACCAAGTTAATATTTTAGGTTTGGCATTTTTGTTGGGTTTTTTTCTGAACCACACTAATACTTTATGCATGGGGGGTTTATGTTCCCATTTACTATAGATATTTCATACTGAGTGGTCACTTATATTCAAAAGAAGAAATATATAAAATTAATACCTGTGACTATCTTTTAATTTCTCTCAAGTAATCTGCAGAAAGCAGGTACTCAGCCAGACAGTTCATGATCTTTATTGGCAACTGCACCTATAAAATAAGTTTATTGGAGACTGGATGGTTACTTGTGGTCTTGCTTAGAAGTTCTCTGGGTGTCTCAAAAGGCCCTCTCCCTTGTTGCCTTTTCAGAGTTTTCATGCTAAATATCAGCAGTTTTCAGTATAACTGTTGCGACTATTTCCAAATTTCTTTCAAGTTTTGGTTTTCTTGCACTGCTTCTTAGTTTCTAGGTCCTGCAAAAGGAAAAGCAGAGGTTGCTTTTCTGCCTTTATGTAGCACTACTGCATAAATGTGAATAGATGTGTTCTTCTGTTTTCTAGTTGATAGCACATTGCTTACATAGACAGGTCTATTGTAAACTAGACCCTATTATAGCTAACTGGGTCTGGACTACATGGACATTTGAGCTGTTTGATGTCAGCAGCTATTGTTTGTATTGCCCTAATCTTAGATATTGGAGCCTTTTTGAGCCTCTCTGTCAGTGTAAGAATACCTTAACAAGATGCAATGTGTGTCTGTTGAATGGCTGCTAATCTTGACAAAGCAAAGAGATCTTAATATAAATGAAACTGTCATCTTTATTTCCAACATGGAATGTTCTTGCTAATGTTATACTATACACTTATATATTTAAGAATGCTGGATATTTTAATGATAAATAAAGAAACTAAAGATGAATAATTTAGGAAAACTCACCTGGCAATGCCCTTGGAGTTCTTATAACCATAAGTCAAGTTTTACTCTGGTTGATTTTTTTGGCCTATTTAATCAGACTTTCACATGAGTTTCTTGATTTCTTGCTGAGAAGTCAACTTCATGCATTTAAATTCAGAATATGATACTTTACATTGTCAAATACAACTTTTAATAATCTCTTAGCAAAACAGTTGCAGTTATACTACAACAACTGATGTGGAATCCACGTCATTTATGTCTGTTAAATGAAAATCTTATGAAAAGCTTTTGCTTAAATCATTCCATGAAAGATGTGACATACTGCTTGCATGAACAGCTATTTGTGTCAGCATATGTTAACAGTCAGGTAGGTACTATACTATTGAGTATTTTGAAGATGGAATCCTGGCATGTCCTGTGCTTTGTAATTTTTACTGTTACATAAATAATACTAGATAAGACTTCTCTCTTTCTTCCAAAATTACATGACGATCTTCCCTTCTGTTCCATGACAGCTTTTTTCGGAGCTCAAATGAATGCATTTATTCATGTCATTATGTACATGTATTATGGATTAGCAGCTTGCGGCCCTAAATTTCAGAAGTACCTGTGGTGGAAACGATACTTGACCATATTGCAATTGGTAAGTAAAATTTCTCCCTTTAACTCAAAAGGTATTGCCTCTGAGTGGATTTGCATTTGCAGAGCTTTGGAACACATACTGCTCCTTCCAGAAGTTCTTCTCTGTCTGCCATTGACAGCTCAAGTTAGAATACTTCCCAGAGATGGAAGCGTTATCCTAGCATAGATAAGAGTTGTGTGAGTTAAAGTCTTTCCTTGCTGGTTATTTCAACTGAATTGCAAAAACGTGTTCAAAAGGTAGAGAAAATCCAGATCTTTTATAATCTTCTCATTTTCCTGTTTCTGAAAACTGTGACAGATACTGCAATAAATTTGATGTTCCTGGTCAAGCACAGGTGTGCACGCATGAATGTGACAGCTAAATACAGCTCCCTGCCACCTCCCAGTTTAGCAGTTTTCATAACTTAATGCATAGGTATAAATTGTTGCAGTCAGACCTACAGAATATATCCAGACCTTTTTGATTCTATGTTTTCTGTCTTACAGGTGCAGTTCCATGTGACTATTGGCCACACAGCCTTGTCTATTTATATTGATTGTCCTTTCCCTAAATGGATGCACTGGGGTGTCATTTTCTATGCTGTCACCTTCATTTTCCTGTTTGGTAACTTCTACTATCGGACATATAAGCTTCCCAAGGAACCTGTAAAGAATGGAAAAATAGCAAATGGTGCTGTTGCAAATGGAGTAAGCAAACCAGAAAATAATGCAGTGGTGGAAAATGGAAAAAAGCAGAAAAAGGGAAAAGCAAAAGGAGAGTAACTTGATCCAGGCCTTAACCATTGTTGGCAGTGAGGAACCTCCAGTTTGGTTTATAAAAGGAAGAAAAAAACACTATCTGTACCAATTAACCTTAGGTTACTGAAGAGCTAGAACACAGATATTTTCATTATTTATGAAGATTGTTTTAAGAACAACACTAAAGTTGAATTTCTATTGTAATTATGTAATTATCATGCATATGGTCTCTGTGTAAACTTATAGACTGCTGGTGTTGGTGAATGTAAGGAAGAATTGCAGTTGATTCCATGTTTAGCAGTCCAAAAGTTAATACTACCATTGGTAAAGGCAGTTTTGTTGGCACCCACATTTCTGGGGGGGGAGGGGAAGGAAGTAGCATTTGGATACTTGTGTTTTCCTTCCAGAAAATTATTAAATTTCAAATTATGATATATTATCTAATCAGAATGTGCAACTTTCTTGTCCTCCTTGGAGGGTATCTTCAGACACATTATGTGCTGTCTGAACAGTGTTTGAATTTTCAGAAATTACTTGATTTGAGTATCTGTTACAGTTTGGTTTTTGTTTTATTTTTTTTCTTGTGTGGAAATATACCTACCTCTTTATCTGCTGAAAAGAATATTGAGCATTAAATAACTGGTTTCTGAAATATGGAGTCTTCTAATCTAAATATCTGTTAACACTAATTCAGAAGAAAATATGATTTCCTGTGGGAGTAAAAGGGATTTTTTGTGGTATTTTTTGATCAAGTCATCAATGACCTTTTTTAATGTAAACTGAAATTTTGGAACAGTACTTTTAGTATAGCTAAATCAAGGAAACATTTTAAGAATGTATCAATATGAAAGAATATATTGTTTGAAGCAATCAGTTAAAAGTAGGCTTGCTGCTTGTTTTCCATGACCTGCATTAAACCTGTGATGCTGACTGATACTGAAAATGGTAAGATAATGTTATGGTGGAAAGAAAACAGCAACGTGTAATTCCATTTAGAAATGCTGCGTGCATGGGCAGTCATGCTATCTACAAGACCATCACTGTATTGAGAGAGGAATTTGGATTAAAAGTGCTAAATACAGCAAACATAAAACGTTGAAAATGCTGTTACTGATGGATACCTGTCAAAACTCTATTTGTTAGACACTTGCAGACAAAGTATTGCTGGTAGACGGGCCACCATTTTTAGTCAAAACTGCTAAAATAAGGAGAAGCCTTTTAGATGGATGTTCATTTGCATGCTATATAAAGGACTTTTTACTGTTCCTTTTGTGAAGAAAATAGAGAAAGAGTTATTCGCCTTTTGAATACTGTGATTACTAAGAGATGTTTTGAGCTACTCAGCATGCAGTGAGTATAGGACAGGAATGGAATTAGAAACCATGTCCTGAACTCCCGTGTTCCTTGCTCATCACTTTAAGAGCTGCATTGTTGCTGTCCAAATGCATTCCCCCCGGCCCTGGTCAAAAACATGTTCACAGGTAGCAACAACCTTGCATCTGTCTACTGGCACCATTGTTGCAGGAAAAAGTACATGGAGCTGGAGGTGTAAAGTGTGTGACACATTTAATAGATTTTTGCATCTCGATTATCCATTCGTCTGTTTATAGAACACAGGCAGGTCACATCTTCTGTCTCAGGTTTGTCTCTTTTCTCTATACAAAAAAAACATCTAAGCCCGAAAAACAGGTCCTAGGAAAAAAATTTTGGATAAAGTCTGTTGTATTCCAAACTAGATTGTGATGCTGGAGTTCGTTCAGCTGGAAGGTGGGTCATCCATAATTGCCAGCACTGTGGATTTTATGGCAGAATATAGAATTGTGAAAGAATGTCTCTGCCTAATTGTAATGTATGTGACCATTAAGTTTCTATCTGTTGTGTCTTGTGATTCTTCCAGCCTTTGTGCTGATGCTTTTTGCATTTGCATAACTGTGTATTTTTGTAGTCTAGCATGAGGAAGAGGGACAGCGGTCTCTGCTTCCTTCTTGGACAAATGCCACTACTCTTAACCAAGCCAAAATGCTGGCTGACTCGGTAACTTTGGAGTGGCTAAAGGAGTAAATAACTACGAAGAAAATTTACAGCAGACCTGCTACTCCAAGGTAATGGGTGGTGTGAATACACGTACCCTACTGAAAATTCAAGGTAGTTTACCCCACCTTGATTAAAGGGTAGCTTCTTTTTATTTGCCATGGGATCTGAGCAGCTAACTTTCAAATCTGTATCATTCCTTGAATTATGTTAAATTGGTTACATGTTCTATCGTTCTTTCGATAAGCCAGATCAGATAAACTGATACTCTTAGTGTGATCTAGATCTGTAAGAGCATACTGAGGAGTATTCGAGTACAGGTTCAATTATGTCTTTGCTACACTTTCTACATTAAGGATTGTATCTTGCATAATGGCAGATATTTAAATAACTGAAAGTTAAATCTTTCCTTCCCTCATAATGCATGGAAGTGGCTTAAATTGATTAAAACTTGAACCTTATTAGCAGAACTGGAGTAGGAACTTACTGTCAAACTCTGGGGCAATTGTTAACTTCTAAGAAAAAGTGAAAAAACACATTGTGAGAATGCATGGGTACATACACATCATGTTGTCTGGCCCTGTGCATAAAACCAGTTTGAGAGATCGCCATTTCATGGGGGGGGGGGGAAGTTAATTGCTGGAACACTGCTGTTTTGAGTACATCTTCTGCAATATGACTTTCCTAGCTCTATTAATGATATATTTGATTGTGTAACTAAAGTCCCGTTACAGTCTTGAATATAATGGCCTTATTAAATGTGCATTTTTGTAGGCATGGTCTTGAGTGCAATATTTCTGTTTCTGACTATGCAGCCAGACTCACAGGATACAGGGCTGAACTTTTACAGCTTTTTCTTTTTCAAAATTTGAGGCAATGATGCACATGTGAGATACTGACAGATTCATTAAAGTCATCTTTGAGTCTAAGGCACCTCAAAAGTTTGCCATGAAGGTAATAGAATATATGTATAAATATGTGTATTTGCTATCCACAGAACCGAAATTTAAATTATACAATCTACTTTGCATGTTTGTTGTTGGGAGGTTTTTTTAAAATCCTTCCAATTTATTTAAAAATTAAATTCAAACCATTTGGAACTTTTCTTTTTTTGCCAATGAAAGAGATTTTTTTTTTTTTTTTTGCTAGGAGTTCTGAAGCTCTTGGACCAGAGTATCATAATTATTTGATGCCATATAAGTAATACAATTTCATTTAGCCTCATCTCTAGCAGTGGCAGTTGTTGGATTATTTTAGCACTTTGTCAGTAAAATTAATACAAATTATCGATACATGTCTGTATGTATGTGTACACATACATAGTGTATGTGTGTGTGTGTATATATATATGGGTTCTTAGCAGATTCTTTCAATATGTGAAGGAAATTATGTTTCTTTAATGTGAAGTTGGCAGGAGCTAACAGAATGGTTCCTACAGCTTGAGCAGTAAAATAAAGCAGTTTTCTTCGATCCATAGATCTAATATCAATCTTGCAAACATAAATAGTATTTTTCAGTCATTTAGACATAGAATGGCAGACATGACGGAGCCATTTCACCCAGTGTAATAAATATTTTGAGGCATCAGTTGTAGATTCTGAGGGGAGGGACCTCAACTCAGTGTAGCTGAGGAAATATGCTGTTTTATAGTAGGAATCATTTTAGGAAACAGTATGAGTAACTTGCTCCAGCTAAGTCTTTGAAATGATTACAATCATATTCTCTGTTTAACAAAACACTTTGAAAAGTAAGTCATAGTCATAGAACCATTTAGTTTGGAAAAGGCTGTAAAGAAGATTGAGTCCAACTGTTGAATAAATGTTTCTCTGTAGATTCAAAAGCATGGCCTATTTGAATATGTGACCATCAATTACTTCCAGCTCCAGATCAGGAGAAAAAGGTGAAGGTAAAATGAAAATTATGCATATTTTTTTCAGGTTAACCTTGGGGCACATTTCTATAAAGTAAGCACCTGAACTCCACGTGCTGGGGAGGGAAGGTAAGAAAGGATAAATAGCTTTTGTGCTGCGAGGTCTCACTCCTAAAATAGCTTATGAACATACTTGCTGTCTCTTAAAAACTCGAGTAAAATTGTTAATGGTGCATAAAGTTAAACCTTGCATGTGGGCTGAGAGTCATAATGTTGAAACAGATATTTAAAATGAGATCTGTTTCAGTTAAAATTGAAGATAATTAAGTATATGGATAGTGTATTTATCTGGGTTAGAAGAACGGACTTATCCAATCTGACACCTAAAGCAAGACACCCATGTGACATCTCAGTGCATTGTGCTCTGATGCGTTGGCCTCTTTGCTGACATAAGCAGCTGGAGCTCTGTGGGAATCAATGGGGTGGTTCCCATTTACCTCAGCAGGGTACGTTGAACCCTAAAGAGTGGAGACAGTACTTGCTTTCTGCCAATATCCTGGGAGGATAAGGAAAATGTATGGCTCAGGGTGCTGCTTTTGCATAAGGTGTTCATGCTTTTGTAAACATTAAAAATAAACATTACTTTTTTCATGCTGCTTGAGTTTGGTTTTGTACATTCCGTAGTGTGTTCTTCTGCATCCCATCTTGCTTTGAGATGCTTGCTAATTTCAGTATTGTGTAGGTCGTGTGATGTAATCTGTTCTGTAGCCCAGAAGTTTGAGAAAAATATTTTTGTGGCACATCCTCCCATTTTAAGGTTATGGGGATTACCAAATTTTGAATATTGCCCCCAAAGAGTAGTGTAGTGGCTGAAAATAGGATGTCCACTTACACAAATTAAACCCCTAAGTTTCTTTTTTTGGTCTTGAAAGTACTAACAGTTAGGAATACAATTAGCACGTAGTTTAGCTTTTGTGGGACAATGTGTTGTGTTAATGTGATTTCTCATCCCAGAGAATATGGAGCACTTTTGGCAGTAGCTACAATTTGTGATTACATGTTGCTGTGTACAGTAAGTTCCTTCAGAGTTACTTTGCCAAGTATGATCTCTGTAATCAACCTCATAATATTGAGTTGCACCCATATTGCATCTAAATGCAAATAGCTACTCCGGATGTCAGGTAGTAGAGAATCAAGTCTGCCATCACAGCAAAATATGGTGTGATCAGTTATCTCTTGCATAATTCTAAGCTGTTGCTTCAATCCACTGCTTACATCCTCCCTGGAATCTGAAAATACACTAAGTGTTCAGAGCAGGATTTGTCTTTTAGATGATTAATATGTGCTGGAGTTAGGCTCTCTGTCCAGGCATCTTTTCCGAAATACTTATTCCCCACTAGGATTTAAAAATCAGAACACATGATCAAGTTAGATTCATCAGATGATTGGATGGAATAGACTGGATCCTCTGTTTTTCATGTTCAATTTTCTTTATTGTATCACTTGCTTCTTGAAGACCAGAAAACTGGGATTGGGGAAAGGGCTTTGTTACCTGTTTCCTTGCTCAGCTCAAAGCACTGGGTGAATGCAGGTTGTAGTCTCAGACACACACGAAGCATGTACTCAAGGACGGCTTTGATGGCAGTACCTTCTTTGGACTAGTGCCTTTCGGTGTCTTTTTTTGCTTGAGACTTCTCCTAGGGAACCTCATGAATGCACACACACTTTTCTGTTGATTGCCTGATGTGTCAGTGACATCACATTTGACTTAATTACAAAGATGCTTATTGATGGGCAAGATTAAGACTCTTGATCATCGCCATGTCAGTTGTCCAGGCCCTGATTAGTGCACACTGGTCTATAGTATTAGGATAGTGGTGGCAGTTCCTGCCAGAGCACCATGCAAGTCAGTGCAGCTTTGAGAGGAAAAAGCTTTTTGCATTTTGACTCTGTATGTGGGAATTGACACCATCTCATGGCATCATCACTGTCTGTCAAATCAGCATCAGGCAGGTTTCAGTCTGCTAAATGAGAAGAAATCTTTGATTCATGGAATGATATCTTTTAAATGGAGAACTGTTATTCTTGCAGTGGCATCACCTTAATGTGTTTCATAAGAAAACCACCTTTATGCTGGTATCTTTTGGAGTGTGTTTATGAGAGAAAACTAGAGAAATACAAGAAATAATTTGGGCCAAAAATTAGAGAACATGATGTAGTTGCTCCTCTAGTTTTTGCCTTTGCCCCTAGATGTTGCAGAATTTAAATGATTATTGTATAACTGTTACTGCTGTTATTTATTTTTTTATGGATGCTGTAATTGTATCCAAGTAGTGTACTTGTGCATAAGTACATTGTGAAGTACATAAAAATTTGCTTTGTCTTAAATGACAGCAAAGGGAACTATTTATCTAACCACAAATGTTAGTGGTTAAGTAAGTAATGACAAACATTGTAGTCCTGCATTGGCAGGGCCCACAAATAATTTATCTTTCCTCTGTATTTTCTGATTAATAATCTTCAGAGCTTCTGAGGAGCTGCTTGCACTAATACAAAACTCTGGAAAACTGAAAATAGCTGTATAACTGCTAAAAAACTGTTGTTGCTGAGGTCCTATTATTTCTTAGTTTCTTTTTTATAAATTATTTTCAGGTCAGGTGCTTGCTTACTAATTTATTTCAGAGTGGGATGTATTTCATAGAAAGACTTGTAGTAGTTGCAAGAGAGTAAAATGTTAAAATGAACTCTGGGGTATTTTACAGGCAAGGGTTTCGTGTCCATAGCATCATTTGATACACTGGCTTCACCTCAAATGCTGCTCTTGGACACAGGGCACAGCAATCTGGGTCCATCTAGCCTGTTAGGAATTTTCGTTACTGGACAACGGATTCTCACCTGGACTTGCTTTCCATACATTTGGCAGATGGGGCAGGAGAAGTCCTTGGACCAAAGAGGAATGTTTTTTGCACTTCTACCTATTCTCAAAACACCAAACTTAGCAGGAGGTGTTGGAACATTTTCTACTGACAGCATGAGGTACAGAGTTTGAAGAAAATGTATCTCTAGATTCAGTATTTATAGAGAGCCTATCATGCTTTTCAGTTTTTAGTTGCTTGACAGAAATCAAATATGCTGGAAATGCTCCAATTAAATAGGAAAAAACCCACACCCTTTAAGGATTTATTCAGGAAATGAGACTTTGTTTAGTAGCTAGATTTTTATTGAGAAATTCCCCTTTTTTCCCTTTTGCCCTCTTCAATCACTGTGCATGCCTCTGCTCTGCCAGTGTGACTCCTTGGATAAAGATTGTGATATGTGTTCAGGGAATAATTTACTGCTGTGAGATTTGTCACCGGGGCATGTGAAGTGACTTTTCTTACTGTCTGAAATGCAGAACAGCAGCCACACAGTCCGAGCAGGTTGAGTAGTAATAGTATTTTACATTTAATGGTCTCAAAATACCATTACAAAACTGGGTGTTCTGGATACAGTAAGCTAGAAAAAGGAAGAGTTTTTATTAAATATTGTCTTCCTGCTTAATAAATATGGGGCTACAAGGACAAACTCCAGTTTTGTATTCTATGATGTGAAGGCGTATAGTACATTCATAACCAGAGCTTATGGCTGTGAGAGACAGAGAGTTTACTGCACTATAAAATCACTTTGTTAGAGATTTTATACTGAACTACTCTTTTCTGTGATCAGAATTTAATAAAAAACCAGATTTTTATATAAATCTGACCTTTGGTTTGGGGTTTTTTTATTTCAAAGTCAGGTAACTAGTATAAATATTTTCTTGCACAAGTAAAAATTCTCATCCTGGCTTTTTTATGGTTTTTGGTGTTCTATATGTACAGTTTCACTTATTTCAGTGAGTATTTTCACTAAGGACATTCCATGAAGCTAACAGAATTTATAAGAGCACACTTACCATTTAGACCTCACATTGCACACTAAGAAGTTTGGAGGACAATAAAAAAATAAGTACCAAAATCTTTTTTTTTTCTATTTAGTTTTTTTTTAACGACTTTACAATGAAGGTATAATTACTTTAGTAAAACACTTAAAGTGGCAATGTATTTTGAACTTATCAGTTCAACTTATCAGTTGGGTGCAGCAGATTCCTTACTGAGAAAACCCTGCTTTTGCTGCAGACCAGTGCATAGGCAGACTTTTTTCTTGCTTTCTGACACTTTATTAAATCTGCTTTTCATACGGGATCAGATATTAGACTTTGTGTGCAACATTTGTATCCCAAACTCTCCTGAATGCCTCTGGTTCCACCAGCACTTTGGAATACACCTGTAGTACCATCTTGATAAGCAGTTGGCATAAGTTATCTGTCTCACAGGTCTACAAAATCTCCTGAATCTGGAAGGTGTTGTCTGAAGCCTGTTGAAAACTATAGAGGTATTGATTTACTAAAATACTTGAACTGAGCTATTAGGACAATAGCTTGAATTCCAGATTAAACAAGCCTGTAATTTTTTTCATACTGACTTTTGCAAGGCACCGTATGTGTATGTTTCAGAGCATTTTTGGCGATAAGACAATTTCTCATTCTTTCAACACCTTGAGTCTTTGACTCTGTGAGTCTCTGGTCCTTCCACTGGCTACCAGGGAGCAGCACAGTGCTCTCGTCTATTCATGGCAAGTACTAGAAGATGGCTGCTCAACTCAGTAGGTGACACATTAGGAAGAAGGAATCCATTTACTTTGTTATGTGTTTTGTTTGGAATTTTAACAACTGACTGGAGAGTAAGTGGGTATTTTAATCTGACCTAAATATTCTTAGTATTTTCTTCACATCATATCTAGATGGGGCAGTCAGAACATGTGCTGGGTTACCAACAAATGCACAAAGCGTTAGAAAAGAGATTAATGATATACTCAATCAGAAGTGGACTAATTAATTATGTTTCTTGATTTCTTTTTTTCAGCGATATAATGTTATCTGAATGTTTTTGCCAGAATTTCAGTTCCTGAAACTGGAAATTTCTGGAGCAGAAGGAGCATGTTATGTTAGCAAGGAATAATCCATCCGCACCCAGAGGGATGGCCCTAGCATCCTGTGAAAGTTGAAAGAATTAGAAATCATTAGAAATATTTGGCCTTGACCCACTTTTAAAATTACAACATTCTCATCACTCATCAATCCTATTTCTTGGGACTGGTTTGACTTTGAGGACCTACTGGATTGACTGAGCAGCAATTTAAATAGGTAAGTAAATAAAAATTACAGATGCTGAATATTTGTTCCAGATGATTTAGTGGGGAAGTGAACATTCCCATAGCTGGAAACTCCATCCACTTGCAAAACATTTTCTGGGTGGCAATTGAGTTTAGCAGGTTTGCGCAACCTGCAAGCTGTCACCAGATTACACGATGCAGGGACAGATACAGGTGAGTGGTAGTGAAGGCACAGCCAGTTGGATGATGTGTTTCACTACAGTGTTTCCTTGGGAAAACTTGGAGCCTTTCCCAACTGCTGATGTTTTCTAAGGAAGAGCTAAGTAATGTTCTGGCATCAACAGGAAGGGCGTTTCTGCAGCTCCACCTCCGTGGCTTTAAGACTTTAACTGATGGGCAATCATAAAATGGCTTTTCTGGTGTCCACATACCAGCAGAAGGAAAAGCTGCTCTTTCAAGAGCTCCTTAACA